CCTGGACCACAATGCTACAGAGCCTTTGCACAGCAGAGATCGGACCACTGCCCTTGCCTGTTGGAAGACAAAAAGGGGGAACTGTGGAGAGCTGCGAAGGGCCGCGCCTACAGGATGGCGCTGGTTTCCGCCTTCCACCCCCCGTGGGTGAGCGCTCTCTGTGCACAACAACTCCTTTTATGGCCAGGGCTGCAGTCATGATTCTCTTCCGCATATGCTGGACCCATGGGCGATCCCCACGTGGCGCACTGGGATTGGGCTTGGGAGTATATGTTAGCCACGGGTTGGGGGATTGGAAAAGAAGAAGCTTGCTGTAAGGGGCCTGAATAAACCACTGAAGGAAGAGCTGTGTGTTGTGTCTTCCTTGCTGGCGAGGTCGTGCGCAACAGGTTTAGTCTCCCAAAAGAGACCTGCCCAGAACACTAAGCCGGGACATGGCTTTTATATGTGTCCTCCTGGATGGGCATAGTTCTTTTTGTCTCATCTGACCCAGAGATGGGGTATGTGACCTTTCTAGAATGGCTTTCCTGTCTTCGGCGTTAACGAACGCTCATTTTCTAAGGGCTTACTCAGCTGGAACAGTCAGGATTTTTAATTTTTTCATGCCTTTTAAAAAGGAAAGTGCAAAGAGATAGGAAAATTAGGGATAAAGTTAAAGCAAGGAAACTGAAACAGATCAGGCCCGACATTCCCTCTAACAAGTAGAGGGGGATCAGAACCAGTCTATCTCAGTGAAATCTGTCCTCCAAGTCTTTAAGAATGGTTACCGACCTAATGTCATTTAACTGGCAAAAGGAGTCCTGTTTTTATATAGGCATGTAGGTTTTTAAGTTTAGGCTGGCTAAAGTTTTAATTTTACAGAAGTTTACATAAAATCCAATAAGAATTTTATTAACTTTACCCTCTAGTGACATTGTTTACCAGTACATTCAATAATTAGTTTACATGTAGCGCATATATAAAATAGTCATAAAATATTTCATTAAAGAAACATCATAAATATCATAACTTTATAACAATTTTAGCTTAACATATTTTGACCACTATTTTAACAATTATAAAATGAATTTAGTACTGGTTGGCAGGTGGAACAAGTAGGTTCTGAGGGTGATGGTCGGGAGTCATAGCCACTTTTTATCGGTTGGAACTGCCAGTGCGAACAGGTGGAATTAGTCAGTTGTCTGGGAGTCCAGAACAGCAATCTTTGAGTTCTTTCAGGGGGTCAGCAATGGACAGTGGAGGATGTTTGCTCTGAGTCCTTTGGGGAGCTAGAAGGGGGATCCTGAGAGGGTGCAGGTGGGTCTTTTATATGCACCAAGGAACCTTTGACTTCGTATACTGCTTTAAGCTGTTGCCGATCGTTCACTGTCATTGTTTTTCGAGTCTTTTGAGGTTTTTTTATATTATCCATATTGGATTGGCTCCGAGTATCTGGATGGACATAGCGATGACCTGAGCTGTGGAGAGAACAAAAATGCCTTCGGGAGGCCAAGAGATATTAAAGGAGGGATATTTAAGTTTACAAGGAGTTTATACTTTTGCCAGGGAACACAGGTTCTCAGAATCCCTTTTACTTGTTTTCTGAAATCTTTAAAACATTTGTAACAGACAAAACATAGACATACATAAATAGGCCAAACAATACCAAAAAATTAATAGGCGTCCAATATTTTAATAACAAATTTATCTGGCTGACAATTTCTAAGAAAAACAGACAAACATAAATAGACCAAACAAAATCAAAGAAAGAAAAACAAACTAGTTAGTACAGACAGACAGCGCAACTAGACTTACCCAGATGGTTCCAATTGGGCCCAAATAAATCCTGTATGAAAGTGTATGCCCCTAATTAGATTAAATCTTTTGGGGGACTTAGTAAAGGTGGAATTAATTCATTTCACACAAGAGGCAGACCAGTCCAATGGGCCTAAATAAAACTTGTATGAAAGTAAAGTGTATGCCCCCTATGTAGGAGGACTTAGTAAGGGTAGGGGTATCAAGGAAATCTTTCATATAAGAGGAACTAGTCTGCATTAGAGAGAGGGTCGAGCAGATGTTGCTAGCCCCCAACAGTTAGAACCTGTAGGAGTAGGGAAGGCATAAATCTCAAAGAGAGATAAAGGAAGAGGTCGCACACATGCGGCTAGCCCCCTACAGTTAGAATCTGTAGGGGTAGGAGGTAGGGGCAGAAGAACCTCACTTAAAGAAACCCTGGAGGTCACGGAAACCTCTACACATGACCGAAGCCCATAATCTCTAAAGGTAACCAGTTGGCAAGAGGGACACCTAGGTCCATTTGCCTCACTGAAAATAGAGCTCTGCGGCAAAAGGGACACTTAGGTCCATTCGCCTCCAATTGAGATCTCCCAAAATCTGACTTGGAGGGCGTCCCACTCCAAGGACTCGGAGACCGGAGTCTGCGAGTCAACATTACAACCAAAACCAATTTGAGTACTCACTATGAAACCATCAAGAAATCACCAAGAAACCATTAAGAAATCAAGAAAACAGAACGAAAGCAAAGAGGCAAAGTGAAAGGAGAGGTTGACGCAGTGACCATAGTTCTTTAAAATCAGTAAAGCCAAATCAAAACCATTAATTTACATTTGAGTTTAAGCCGGCATAACAAAATTTAGGTTGAAATTTACTTACCGCGTTAAAAAGAAGAGGCCTTTAGAGATCCTGGACGAGCCCCCAAATGTTGTAGCTCAAAAATCAGATGACAACAAGGCAAGTCCAAAGGTTAAAAGAAGCGCTTTATTTTAGCTGGTACCCAGCGGTGGTCTCTAT